GCCTTCGCAGGCGCCTTCCCACTGCGTGTGAGCAAAGCTACAATGAACGTAACCTGTTTATACCATGAGAAAGGGGAAACACATTCCTGTCTGGCAAGTCTTCCTCTGAGAGACCTTCCCTGCCTCCCCCACAGGTTTTTGTGCCGGGAAGCACGATGTGCAGAACAGGTTTCCATAGTTCTGCAGGTCTCCTTGCTATTAGTTCATTTGTGCAGGCAGACCATTACCGAGGCTGGTCAAATTCCTGTTATCTGGATCTTTTAATCCTTGGATGTTATTCTTGGCTACATTCAAGTTTGATCATTACGTCCCTTTTCATCCTTAAAGATTTAATTGAAAGAGTCCTCAGCTAATTTCTGTGAGGTTCTTGTTGAAGCAGGCTTATTACTTTAAGTACTGGCAAGGGAACGGATTTTTCTCTGGGAAAATCTCCGTAAGGCTTCAGCGTTCCAGTCTGGAAGGCGTTTCGGCCCCTTTGCCCGCACGGCACCGATGGGAGCCTGTAGGACCTGAAAGTTGGTTCTGTCGCCTTTTCTTTGTCACCTCGGACTCACCGTGGGACACGTAGACACAAGCCACAGCTGAGCTTGCAGAGGGCAAAGACTCCTGGCTTTGACGTCAGGGGGATGGATGGCAGGCACAGGCAGTGGCTGGGGCTGGGGAAGCCTCGGCAGCGCTTGGCTGAGGGTGGGCAGCCGCAGCCTCCGGCCAAACAGCTCACCGCGCTTGGGACGCTGCCGTGGGGCAGCCGGGAGCGCCTTGCTGACCCCGTTCCAGATCGTCTTCAGAGGTTGTGTGGACCCGCTCAGAGCAGACGTTGCGGTACAAGCCTTTCTTTCTTGAAAAAGGCTGACCAATTTTAGGTTTGATTTTTTAGTAGAGAAAAATGAGATTTAGGCAGATGCTTGTCATGAAACGTGGCAACTCGTACAATTAAATGGTGGTAGCGTCTTGAGTGAAATTTAAAAGCTTGGACACCGAAAGTAGGAGGACACACGGTGCTGCAAACCGGCCCTGGACAGAACTCCCACCAGCGGTGCTCAGCAGCCGCTAGGTGCCCAGCTCCGCAGGGAAGGCGCCGGGACGGTGTGCTGCTCCGCGCGGCGCTCCCGAGAGGCTCCCGGGGACCGCGCCGGCACTCGGCAGCAGCAGGGTTGACCTCCTGCCCCTTGGGTTCACGGGGACACCGGAGGAGTGTGTGTGCGGGCGAGCTGGTTTTGGCCGGGACGGAGCTAATTTTCTCCGTAGTAGCTAGTGCAGGGCTGGTTTGGATTTGTGCTGAATTATTATTCAAATTATTATTTGTCTGACATTCCAACGGGAGCAGTTAAAAGCTTGTATTCTCATTTCCTCAGGTTGTGGAATAACCTGGCTCCACCTACTGCGTGTAGCACTGTAACATATCGTGTAAGAAAATAATTGTAATGTGCACAAATGCTTCATTCATGGCAGTAGGTAGAATCCAGTGCCTGTGGCTACAGACTGCCCCATTTTTCAGCTACAAAGAAAGAGGGTTTTTAAGACCTCCACTGTAGATCGCTGATGTATTGCATCTTCTTACAAAAGAAGCAAGAGTCTTAAATGTGAAGAATGTCTACTCCTGTTTATTGTTTTTTTCAAGCAATATCTGTAAATTTTGATTTATTTCTATTTCTTTGACCAGCCAAACACATTTGTTTTTATAGAAATGTCAAGGCTACAAAGTCAAGCATCAGACTGAGAAACAACAGAATTAAGACTGTACTGCCTTGGTTTGGTCAACTAATATCAGGAATTTCATTTTTTCCCCCCACTTTTTTCTGAGTCTCAGCCTCCCCACTCTTACTCTGACCCAGTGTAGGTGTGTAGTGATGCTTGGCCTGCTTGCTTCCCCGGCTCTCAGCAGCTCTGCCCAGTGACTCCCAAACTCCAGCCACTTCTCCCAGGTGCTCTCAGCCCTCTCCCAGTTCATGTCCCGTGTAAACAGCCCCCGAGGCGGCTGCCTCCCTCTGCTCTCTTCTCCCTAATGGATGCAGGGTTTTGGGCTGAGAATTCAAACCAGGCTGTTGTACTATTATTATTACTATTATTATTATTGTTGTTGATGTAGTTGTTGTTATTGTTATTACTGCTACACTTTTATTTTACTACTGTTAGTATTATTATATTGTTATTTTACTGTTATTATTTCTTGTTATTTTATTGTTACAGCTGCCCTGTAACTGTTAAGCCTCTTTACTGGTGCTTGGACAGGGAATAGTGCTGCTCTCTTGTGGTTTTGACTACAAGCCAGGATGAATAAACCAATGCTTTGAAGGTCATCATCCAGAAAGATTGTTATCCACGTTAATAAGGTTAGTATTAAGAAGGTTGGAAATACTTTCCCAAATTTGAGCTTTTTGTGTATTTTTGTAGTAGAACTTAAACAGATCTTTAAAACAAGGATTTACTTCAAATAGAAATGTAGTGACAGTTACAAATGAATCCCAGTAAGTTTTTGAGCTGAGAAATACATGTAATCAGTTCAGGATATAGTTTTATCTGAGCAAGTCAAAGTTTTCCCATGAAGCATTTTTTCATTATATTTGACATTTTTCTGTAAATGTACATGTTGTTATAGAATCCCAGATCTGTTCTGCTGTTTGCTCCGAAGCAAGGAAACCACGGTGTCCTCGTCCTTGGGTCAGAAGTGTGCCCAAGTCTTGTCTGAGAACTTTGTTGAAAGACAGAGCCTCTATGCCACTGGATTTCATACCTCCCCTGTTACTACAGTTTTTAGGATCATCCAGTTCTCTGAATATTATTTTATCCTTCTCCTTGTTGATGGTGTTTCCCCATTTCGCCTTGTCATGACCATATACTTTCCATGTGAGCTTGTTAGCTGGTCCTCTAGACGTTTCGTTCGTGAGCTCACTCCCATTAATTTTTTTCATAGACAATTGTAAAATAAATTTTGATAGTGAATCAGCTTTGTCTGGAGAAGCAGAGGCAACTGTTTCTTTGCCTGTGTTGCTGTTTACCGTTTGAATAGGAACGAACTGGGTTTTCACAGCCATAGTCTGTGTCCACAGATTGAGAAATTGCACCGGATAATTATCCAGGAGCTTGTGCAACAGCGTGGGGATTCTCCTTCCATTGTGCTTTGGCAAAGTAATGTTGCTATAGGAGGTGATCCCTCAGAAAGCGTACAAAGTGCGAAAGAAACGCTGGGGAAACATCCATGTTTTGGGAATAGAGCGGATGGCACCGACGTTCCACTGCTCCAGAGCTAAAGAAAGCCTCCAGGACGCAGCATTTTGCCCAGAATTTCTTGCTCTCCTCAGGTTTCTGTTAAATTCAGTCTGTTCACGCTCTTGATGAGCACCGAGTTAAATACTGACCAGAGGAAGAGCTGACAGCAACCTGAGTGCCCTCCTACTGCCTCGGCCAGCACAGAGTGATCCAGTGCGTGAGGTTAATGGGCTGGCTGGCTGGCTGCAGCCACAGCTCGAAGCAATGACTCAAGTGAAGTGAGGACAGACTGTGACACTGTCAGTCAAGTTCACTTCTTTGCGGACAACTCACAGGTCACAGGGATTGAATTTGATTTGATGAATAGATTATTTATTTACTTTCACATAGAACTCTGATAGAGTTTTCTGAACCGTGGGATGGATGCAGCATAAAAATGGCATTAGCAGATAAAAACCACCATCTTTCCCCCTGTCTTTTATCTGTCTTTGGATTCTTTGGAGTGAGTTTGTGTCTTGCTCTCAATCTTTTATCTGTCTTTAGCAAATTCTTTGGAGTGAGTTTGTGTCTTGCTCTCAGGCTCCCTATGCCCAATGGTTATACTAAGCTAGAATACAGTTTTTGCAAGTATTTGAGTTTTCAATAACTCTTCCCTTAATAGTACTGATTATAAAGGACCTTTGAGTTCCATTGATAACGTGACGTTCGAAATTTGGCACAGTCTCTACAGCCCTTAACAATGCTTACCCGTTCCAGAATGCTGCTGTTTGTGCTTGGGCAAAGCCTCTCTTGGAGCATTCTGAAATAAAAATCCACAAATTCACATAGCTTTTAGTGCTGTGCTTAATATGCTGTGTTTTGCTGACAAATCTGAACTTACCACTATAAATTGTGTATGTTGTATAGTTTATGGGTGTGTTCAGATTAACGGGTGGGGAGAGAGTGCAAACTGTATGAATATAAGAATTCTGTGAAGCTGGGTCCGCTTTTGCCCAGTTCTCCACAGTTCAGTAGGATGGATTTGCTTGTCTCGGTTTCGTTTGCTTAGGTTTGACGCAGAACCGCTCGCTGCGAGTGAAACTCCTGTGTTGTCACTGGACTTAGCTAAGCCTCTATAGACCTTAGCTGCTGTTCTGGTGATGCCCACACGCTCCGGTGTAGGAAGCAACTGGTGCCTTTGGGTGATCTCCGCTTGCTTCTGTGGCTTCTTACTTCTTTTTTTTACTTTTATTATCTGGAAAGTGTTTGTAGGAAATCAAATATTGCTTTTCTTAAGACTTTTTTTTTCTTTTAAGAACATAAAAGTATTCTGCCTACACTGAAAGCAGGTTTCCCAGCTGTTGCTGTCTCCAAGCCGTGACAGTGCCAGGGGATGGTGCTTGGACATCCCTTCCGAACCTCCTCATCCTCTGCCCTGTGTGAATCCCCGTGCAAACGAAGTGACAGAAGACATTTACAGTTTGTGATTTAAATGGTTTGCTCTATAAGGTGTAATACAAAGTTTTATTACACCTGCCAATGTGTCCAGCTTTTACTTAATCCAGGGAAGAGCCACCTCAGCCGGCTGACGTGTACCTCGTGCTTCCTAGAGATGCCTCGTGTCTCCCTGTGCGTTCGGCGGGTGTCGCTTCGCCTGCCGCCTCCGGCGCTCTGACAGTGGTTGTGTGCTTTTCCTCCTTCCAGGCAAGGAAGAAAATGTAGTGGGTCGGAGGCAAGGACGAGAAGCCTTGAGCGAGCGCTGGGCCGAGGGCCTCCGGGCGGGACTCCCCTCCCTGCCGCGCGGCCTCACCATGTCCAAGAAGGGTGCCAGCAGCCGAGCCAGGGGGGAGAAGCCGGACGCCTTGGCTGCCTTGCAGGCTGCCAACGAAGAGCTCAGGGCCAAGCTCACCGACATCCAGATAGAGCTGCAGCAGGAAAAGAGTAAGGTGTGCATCTTGTCCTTGCCTGCTCCTGTTACTTAACAGAAATAGTCAGCTGTTTCTGGCCGCTAACCTCTCTGCACCGCTCGTAGCTACTTGTACACGACTTCGGCAATAAATCCAGGTGCCTGCGCCTGGAGCGAGCCTTCTGTGGGAAACAAGAGGCAGCCCCGTTACTGCAGGTGTTTGAGTTCCCCTCCCTGTATTTGTAACTTGTGTGTGGTACAAAAGGGCTCCAGCAGCGAGGGTGCTTCAGCGGTACGGCTCCGGGCGGGAGCGCCGAGCAGGAGGATGGCCGGTGCCGGGGCAGGCGGGACTCTGCTGCCAGCAGCACCCTCGTTCCCACCATCCTGGGAGAAACTAAGTTGAACAATTGCATAGCTAATGCCAGCGAAAGGGGTGGAAAACCTGCACCAAACAGGTGGCGTGGTCGTGGTGCTGGGCTGAAAGCTGTCCACGTCCTTGGTTTCTCTCGCTACAACTTTTTCCGGTAGATATTTACCAATTTATGAGGATGGCTACATTGAGGGTTTTGGCTGCAATTTTGTGTTATTCAGAAATTCTCTTTGGTGATTCTTCTCTTTCACATTTACACTGATTTCATTTGGATTTTATGCTCAAAATCCTTCAGGCTGGCTGCTTACCGTTTCCAGCTGTAGGGTAATAGGCCTCACCTCTGCCCCCTGCGCTGACTGCCAAGGTTTGAGGAGCCACAGTTTCACCCTGAGAGCGTGACGGCAGATGCAGCTTGAGCCTCAGCTTTAAGAGTTTTCAGCCGTAGCCCTCAGACCGCTTCTCAGTGAGGGCAGGAAAAATTTATTTGCTTTTCCCCAATCCCCCAAATTAGTTTCTACTGATAAACTTTGCCCTTTTTTTGGCTCCAGAATGTTAATAGAAATACATGACCATGAAGGGACAGAGTGATGTTCTGCATTTTTCCACTATTTTGCATCGTTATAAGGCATTGTAGACCGTGAATCCAGTTTTAAGGAAGGTTTGAAGGGATGTGGGTGTGTGTATGTGTGTGAGCTGAGGGGGGTCCTGTTTTCCCCCAAGACACACGATTCTCATTGGTAGCCCAGAAAATCACCGCTGACCACCGGCCAGCTCTGCCGGGGTGTGTGCACACCAGTGACCACCCAGGCAGGGGTGTCTGGTCACTGGGGGGGGCTCAGAACCGCAGCCAGCCGTACCCTAGTGCTGGTTCATGGCCAGAGCCACCCCAAGGGCAGGTTGTGTCTTACGGGTTTCGGTCATTGTCACTGTTGATTTTGATCACGTAGAGCCGCAGCGGCTGTGTCGGTGACGAGGTGAGCGCTCCCTGGTGCCTCTGGAGAGAGGACGGGTCTGTCAGGGCTGAGGCAGAGTTGTGCTGGGAGTAGCTGCTGTAGATTTAGAATCACTTCTACAGCCCCGAGTCCTCCTGACTAAAGGCCTCCACAGGTACCTGCCAAACCTCGAGTCCCACGACAGCTGTGACAGTGCATTGGAAGTGTTTGCCATAAATTGTAAAGAACCTTCTCCCTGTGAAAACGTTCTACAGGGGGTTGTGATGTGTATTTTCTTCCCAGGAAATGCTTCAGAGAGAGGAAATTTCTCTTTGTAGGTCTGCAGCCTGAAGGCTGTGCAGCAGAGCTGCAGGGGGTTTACCCTGAACCTCTTTAGAAGAGCAGTGTTTAATACGTAATAAAGTATTTGCTCATAAAGAATGCACAAAATGCCAAATATGTAGCTCTGTGCGAGGTTAGATGAATTGATTGGGCTTTCACTCTAAGGCACAGACATACACCGTTAAGGTCTGATATTGTAAAGTGATCCGTACCATTTTCAGATAAAATCGTAATTTGTATTAATCATTGTGTTGATTACTTTTTGATTTTCCTTGTAGGTCAGCAAGTTGGAAAGAGAGAAAAATCAGGAAGTTAAGCAGATCAAGGAGCACGAACAGCATAAAAGTACAGTGGTGGTAACAGAGCTCAAAGTCAAACTTCATGAAGAGAAAATGAAGGAGCTCCAAGCTGTTCGAGAAGCACTTTTGAGACAGCATGAGTCTGAACTACTTAGAGTAATAAAAATCAAAGATAATGAAATCCAGAGACTACAGACCCTTCTCAATGCTGTACGTGATGGGGCTCCTGACAAGGTGAAAACGGTGCTGCTCACTGAGGCGAAGGAGGAGGCCAAGAAGGGGTTTGAAGTAGAGAAAATAAAAATGCAGCAAGAAATTTCAGAGCTGAAGGGGGCTAAGAAACAAGTGGAAGAGGCTTTAACTATGGTCATCCAGGCTGACAAAATTAAAGCAGCAGAGATAAGGAGTGTCTACCACCTGCATCAAGAGGAAATCAGCAGAATTAAGAGGGAGTGTGAGAGAGAAATTCGTAGGCTGGTACGTTCTGTGTTGCCATCTGCATCTATGTTTTTACTAACCCTTAATTACTGATAGTAAATGCAAGTTCAGCGGGACTCGGATGAATGAATAAGGATGGGCGGTCAGACTTCTGGAGCTTGCTTCAAATCTGCTTTACATTTACTGGTAGACATGTCAAAATGTTTTTAAAAAACTCTTAAGATGTTTTGTAAGGACCTTTTTTATTCATGTCAGTGCCTATTTAACATCGTTCACGTTTCAGGTATCAGGAAGAGGCCTTGGGTTACCAGCTGGTTAGGGGAATTCTGCAAACAGTTGTTTCTTGGCCCGTGCCTCTGTTTCCCCACCGTTGGTCCTTGCTGATCCACCTTGGCCCCTCCCTTTCCCTGCCGTTGCTAGTTCCCATAAACATCCCATAAAGGGCTTTCCGCAATCCCCAAGTGCTCTTTCTTCTGCATCCCGTAGCGAGTCCTGTACCCCGCCGGCAATGACCCCCTTCCCTGCGAGGCGCTCAGGAAGGGGTTCCTCCCCCCCACCCGCTCGATGGCTTCCCCCAGGGCCGGGTGCTGGGGCTCCTCCTCCAAAAAAGCGACGGTGGCTGCCCGCCTCCGGGGGCTGCTGGGGTTGGTTCTTCACCCCTCGTGGCTCAGCCGGTCCTCGCCAGGTCGCTGCATGTGCTGATAGGCCCGCGGTCCCCTGGGCGAGTTTGGGTCTCCGCTGCAGCCGTTTGGGTCGCAAAGGCACTAGCTGCGTGCTTACGGCTTCGGAGTATTCCTCCGGTGCGTTTGGAAGCTGGTTGGAGAGAGTGAATGGGATCACGGTTGGAAAAGGGGAGAACTCCCTGCAGGAGGGAGCTCCCTCCAAGAGGGAAGTCTTTGCAGGACAGCCTGGCAGGCCACCAGCGCTTTCTGGTTAGGGTGATTTCTTCTCAGCGCCGTCTCAGACACTTGCCTGGCGACTCACACTGTCTTGGGAGTGCACGGCCGACTTGCGGGACTGTATCCCTTGGCTGTTTGTCGTTCCCAAGGACACGGGAACAAACGTAACACCCGTGCTCTCATGCTCTATGTTTTGGGTCTTGTCTCAGAATTTATTTGAAGTTACCATCTTTTTGTGCTCGCCATGCTTTTTTGTAGCAATCAGTGTCTCAGTATAAACCATCCGTGTCTCTTCTGAGTCATTATCCCTGGACTGTTAGTAAAACCTTAAAAAAATCTAAAAAAGCACCGTCAGCTTGCAGACCAGCCCCAAATCAAAGGACGGCAGTGTAACGGTGCTGCAGTGAGCAGAGCTGGACGGTGATGCCCCAGTGAACCCGGGTGACCCGCAGCGATGACACCCCGCACGCGGCTCCATCGAGTGGTGGGGTGTCCCGTACCCTTTATTTAGCCACCCCTTCTCTCGGGCTTCAGGCTGTTAAGGTTTTTTTCCCCTTATAGATTATTTTATTTTTATAAAGAGGATGTTAAAATAATTTATAACCAACCGATCTGTCGATGCTGTTTAAACATCCTGCAGTGTCAGTACTTTCTTCTCTAAACACAGATTACGAGATGCATTGATTCAGTGCCTCAGAATGAAAGGATGGCTGACATACATCCTCAATAAACTCGCTGCCTTGCGTGGAAAGTCCGCGCTAACGGCCTCTAATGTAGAAGCTATAAACCACACACATTCTTAGTTACAAGGAATAGCGTGGTTTGAGGTCATATTTTCTAAATTGCCTTTGAAATAAAACTTTTTTTTAATTCCTGCTCGAAAGAATGATATATCCTAACTGTACTAATTAAGTAACATGATGCCATCTTTTTACCAAGCCCTGAGTGCTTCCCGAATGACTTTAGCACCCTCAGCTCCACTGACCCGGCCGTGACTGACTGCAGTGGGAGCTGTTGGCTCCCAGCACCCTGCAGGGGCGGGCTCGTGCCACGCTGTGTCAGGAAAGCTTTCCTCTCTGTGAAAATGAGGCAATTCTCAAAACACTTAAACTTTTACTGAAAACCAGTGCTTTTCCCCCTTTTTACGATAGGGGCTATCAATAACGTGCTCTCATTGAGCCTCGTGGGGTTGCAGTGTGACAGAGGGAAGCGCGGCACAGCCCGACGTGCCTGGCTCTGGCCGGCTGGAGGAGCGGTGGGATCGCACCTTCCCGTGAGGCTGGGGCAGCGTCCGGCCCTGAGCTGTTCGTGGATGCACATCAGGATGGTGAAGCTCCGTGATTCACGTACGATGCGTTATTTAGTCATTTTAATCAAGGGGGAAAGTAACCTTTAAGCAGATTTTTGTTTCACACCTAGAAAAAGCCTGCTTTTATTGTTTAGTCAGAATAGAAAACAAGTTGTACTTGTTCATGTTTACCTTGGCAACGTGTGAAGCCCTTGAACATAAAGTAATTTTTTGAAGTTATTTGTCTCTGATAGGTACAGTTTTTCGTTTCCAAGTCAAGTACACCTATGTAGGCTTAGCTTATGGAAAATACTTCCATATGTAGTCAGACAAAGAAGGTTTTAAAAAGATGAGTTAATCTTAATCCATTCTTGCTGTTCAAATTAAGGTTAGGGGGTTTTTCTGTGTTGGCCAGACAGGAATACATTTGTTGATGTCTCACTTTAGAGTTGGAAAAACATTAGATGGCCTTTGAAGTAGCAGCTGTGGTAGGAAGATAGAGCATTCTGCCAAGAGGAACTGTGCAGCCATCTAATTTACTTCATCAAACTGGAGTTTATTGCGGTCTTTGACAGCATCCCCTCGTGGCAGGTGTGGCTGGGGGAGCTGCACAATCTATGCGCCCAGCCTTTCAGAAGAACCAGCTCTGCTCTGAACCTTTCTGGTTTCCTGACTTAGCACAACTTTGGATGAAGCCGGGTTGTGGCGTCAAGCCCAGCCCGATGCCAGTGAGTCACTTGTGTCCTCGCCAGGTTTCCAGGGGGAATCCCTGCATTTTGGCTGTCTTCCGGAGGGGATCTTGGTGACGGCCCAGCCCCGCTGCAGCGGGACAATCCAGCTGCGCCTGCCTGCACGCTGTACTCATCTCCAGCTGCAGAACTAGATCCAAAACGTAACGGTGGTCAAAAGGAGGCTTCCAAACGCACCTGCAAGCTGGGTCCTCCCCAGCCTGCGCGCTCGTGCCAGGAGGTGTTTTCAGCAGACCCTGCACACCCAGCAAACAGGCTTTTACAGGAGAGGGGTGGCATTGGCAGGTTTTGCACTAGAGGCACGCAGAGGCTTGCAGGTTGTGGCAGCTAACGAGGCGTGATCTCTCTTTAGAAACAGTTCCCACTCAGTATTTACCAAACAAACATGCTATCTTCCTATCTATGTGTCTTCCATCCATTCTAGTTGTTTTTCAGGTGCCAGGGTAACTGTTACTCCTTGATGCTGATGGCTTTGGTCTGACCCATACAGCAGAGCTGAGCATCTTTCAGTTCTGTGAACAGCACAGGAGAGGAAACCACGTGTTTTGCAGCAGTGTGTGTTCAGATCCTTCTGGCCTCCTGCTGTCTGCCTGCACGTGTGGCTGGCGCTGTTTGTGTCGGCACAGCCTGAGCGTGACCCTCGCCAGAGGAGCACGGCTGACCCAGTTAAGCTCTCCCTGGCTCAGAGGCTTAAGGAATGTTAATGCAAAAGGTGAAAGTCCCTTGCAGGTGGTAGCAAGGAAGTACAGCAACGACCTCTCTAAAGAATTTGTAATGTTAGTAAACTTTTTTTCAAATGTTAATCTGTGCATTTTAAAACAGCTTCAAATACTACCCAGGTGCATCTGATGACACTCGTGCAGTCTCCCACTAGTAACAGCGCACCCTGTGTGTGTGGGCAGGTCCAGGGAAATCAGCCCTTCGGTCAGGAGGGTTCCCTGGGATTAACCAGCCTCCAATTTTGTTAATGCGACCTAAAATGCAATGTGGCAAAGAGCATTTAAATTTTACTTCAATGTAGATGGGTCAGCAAGGAGAAGTGCTGAACAGCAATGGCCACTGCAGCCTCCCCTCCTCCTGCCTCGTTGGACTAAAACAGAAACCAGAAAAACTGAAGAAATTAGATTTGTTAGAGACTGAAAGGTTTATTTTCAATTTAAGATACGCTTCAATTGATGGTGACTGCCAGAAGGTTTAATAGCCTGCTCTAATAACTCGTGTAAGGCCATGGTACGGTGGTACAGTAATACCAGGCACCACAAAGAGGAGATCAGTCTGTTCAGTATCCCTCTGAACCCCTGTGTTTACAGGCACTTGCCTGACATTTCCCTGTTAGGCAGTGGTAAATTAGTGAAGGTGTTTGATGTAAAGGATGGTATCAGATGAAAAGTGTAGGACGCTGACTTTTTAAATATTAATTTTATTTGTGATTGATTTAGTCTTTATCTTCTCCTTTTTATTCCCTCACATGGTGAAAAATTACCATATTTGGTATTATAAAGGTCTCTCAGCAGTCATCCTGTACCGAAAGGTAGACAAATTATTCAAGGTGAATAATTCCTTCTTGCAAACGTGGATTTTTTTCATCATTTGCGGTTTGAATCTCCTTTCCAACAGTATTTATTCCCACTAAACCTGGACTACTGAAGGATATCGTTGTATATTCTATACAGCATTACCCCTACGTTTTAGAGGGTCAGTAAACCACCGAGTTCTGAGTTGTTCCTTTTGTGTCTTACAGTCCAGTTTCTAAAAGTGTTTTTCTCAGCGGTCCTAAACAAGAAGTCGGCTCTGTTCTGCGCTGCAGCCCTGGTGGTGTGGTGCTGAACACGCCTGGCACGAGGCTTGGGGCTCCCGCACGTCTGGAAGTACTTTGGAAGTGTTGGCACTGGGTGAGGTTCCTACCTCCAGCAGTGTGGGTCTGAGGCACCACACAGCTCATTTCATGGCCTTTACTGGTGGCACTGAAGGGTCACGCTGCCCTGAGCCTGCCTGGAGCATGGGGAGGGTCGGCCGTGTGTGGGAAGGTAGAGTGAAGGAGAGGAGTGCAAAATAGGGCAAGTGTGGGAAAAAATCTTTGACTCTTCCATTATGCACAGCTATTTCTCCTATCCAATGCACTCTACTCTTCAAATACAGCATTACATTTAATTCTGGTAGAATTTTTGTTACAAACTGTACAAGCTGTTATTTTTTGAAAAATCTACGTGGACTAGTAACTTTTTCAGCATATCTTAATACAAATCCAGACGTTTCTAGCAATCTCGTGTGCGTAGCTTCACATACAACACCACCAGTTCTGTGCACTGCAGCTCCCACCGCACGCTCCAGAAGGAACCAGCGCTCAGAACCGAAAGCCTTTCGTCACCTGGCAGAGGAGGTCCTTGGGTTGTTTGCAGCCGGAGCGGGGCAGCAAATTACGATTTCCCCGGCACCCTTTAACCTTGCTGTGCTTAACAGCTTAACGCCGCAGCGCCCTCAACATCATTCCGGTGGTCGCAGTGGAATTATGGTGATCCGCAGGGTGGTAATAAGGGTCCAAACCCGGCCCGCCAGTGTCAGTTGTTCGAGCTGGTGAGGCTGCGGGCGAGGC